TATATATACACACACACACACACACACACACACAAATATACAATTGCAAGACAATCAGGATCAGGGTATACAAAAGAAATTCACCTGCAGCTGATGTATGAAAAGCAATAGAAAATATTTCATCAGATTAACAGGATTTGCTTCTAAAGTAGGAGAGTTGCTGGAAAAAAAATCTGTTTTATTTGAACTAAATGATGGGTTTAAATGCAGAAGATTGCAGCGTTACATTCTTATTGTGTGTTCACAACTCAGCTCAGACATTAAAAAAAACATCTACACTCAGACTTGCTTTATTTTCTGATCTTTGGCTGCCTCCTCTGTTTGATGTTTGATAGGCTTTTCGTTGGATGGAGGTATAACTTCTGAGTTTTGAGATTACTGCTGCCAAGGGTTACTATTTCTCCTGCACGCTTTGATTTATGGTTGTAAATCGGAAAAAAGCTGTTAGTAGAATCTGGTCCACAGGCTCTTTTAAAATTGCTGTATTCTGAATTCTGCTCTGACCTAATATAGACTTGTGGTTATTTCATTTAAAGTACCAACAGGCAACTTTTGCTCAAATTCCCAACTTTATGACTGATATGAAACATTCTAAGAAACTCAGAAATACATTTATGGGATGCTGCTGGGTGTATAGACGCTACGTTTGACAGACGCTCACTGTAATATTTTCCTGTCATTTATTGCTGCTGTTTTATCACAGTCTGTAATCTTTGAATGTTAAAAAAAGAAAAAAGAAAAAAAAAACGTGAGTTGGGGAAAAAAATCATGAGTCACCTTGCAATTTTGAGATGTTTTTATGATATGATGAATCTAATTAACAAAATGTAAAAAAGCCCTCAATGCATTAATGTTCTCAGTAACTACTTGTCCTTTTCCAGCTACCATCCATAAAGCAGCTTCCACTGTCAGATTTACTGCCCACACCACATATTAGTCACTGAATGTAGACGTCAAAGCAATTAAGCCATAACTTTACATCATTTCATATGAAGCACTTGGAGTTATTTCTGTTCTTACTCTCTATCACCACTACCATATGTGCTACATGAGGTAGATTAGCCCACTGACTCTGTGCCAACACCGCTCTGCAGTTTGCACCACAGACTGAGGGACTCTCGTAGTTCTGTTCCTACTTCCAAGGTAATCAAACATCTTTGAGTTAAACATTACAGCAGATGGAAGCCTCGGTCATACCAACTACGTTTAATCTTCTAGAGCAGGGCTATTCAACTGGCGGCTCATGGGCCACATCCGGCCCGCGAATGACCAAAGTTCGGCTCGCCTAATGGTTCATTAATATTAAGCCCAAACCCCTGGTTTTCTACTTTATTACTGTGAGTTCTTTAAGTTAGACATAGATGTGTGTGGTATCTACAGAAATGTCAGAGTCTTGGCTAGAAGCTGATAAAAACCATTTCTGTTAACATTCAAGACAGTCAAACGTACAAGCAGTTAAAGATAAAACTATGAAAGTGAAAATAAAATTGTTTTCATGGCACGTCAGAGACGTCAAAACAATATTTTTGTTAAATAGGAGGCATAATGGTTGTGCCACACCTTCAAGTCTTATATATATAATTTATTTTTATTTTAGAGGTGTATAGTAACAAAGTACAGTCATTTCTTTACATTAAAAACATAAAAAGATATACTTTTATTTATTCACTTTAAAATTTAACACGTTACAAACTACCAAAACAGACAACAGTTTTAGTCCAAGTGTTGTTATTAAGGCCAAAACAAAAAAAAGACTTTTTTTTTGTATTACTGAACATATTTGTTGTTTTGTTCTGCCGTGACAATCAAACCACAGGTAACACCTGAGTGTTCCACCTCCTCAAGTGGTCAGCGATGGCCTTTAGCGCTCGGAGAGAAAGGGAGAACTGAGTTGTAATTCTTTTATATGACCGGCTGGTCTGTGGAATGATGCTGTCACGCTACAAGGTTTTATAGTCAAAACCCATGAGAACCTTATTTTCACGCTGCAGCAGTGCTCTCACAGAAGTGGAGGGCACTGGAGCTTGTTATTTCTTGTCACTTGGGTTCCATGAGTGGGAACTATTGAAGGATGATAGAGACTACATGATGAGATGCATAATGACTTCACTGTGGTCTTGATTATGGCAAATGAGAATACCTCTCATCCCTCTTCATCATCAGACTGAAAAAGGCAGCTTATCCCTCTGTTTCTGTACAATTCTTTAAAAACAATCAAACTCAGAGGGATGATGTAATGTTAATAAATGGGAATGTTCAGTTCCTCAAAATCACTTTCTTAATGATGGGTTTAGTTGAATAGATTTTTGTAATATTTGTAATCACACTAACAATTTCATTATTAAGAGTGGGTTTAAACACTGCAAAACATTTTCAATGTAATGTAGTGGAACATTGTGAAATGATTGGTACTGAATGCTTGATGTGATTCATGTCTTTAAAGGGTAGAAATCTGTAACAATTTGGCACTTTACATGCCTTTAGATCGCTGACAACTTGACTCAGCTTTTTATGTTTTTACTCACTGAAAACAAGCAAATTTACATGCATTTTAAGCAGGTGTAGAAATCCTGTTTGCTTAAAGTTGCATCACAGTTGTGTTTTTTAAAGTGCCTCCAGAAGCAGAAAGTTGTTCCACATTCAGCTCACTGTAGCCCCTATCACCACCAGCAAAGGAATGGAAAACCTTTCTTTCTTTCATTAATAATTCAGCTCTACTGATTACAGGAATTGATTTTTGTATTAAGCATAGTTTGTTCTCACTGCTTTGACAGATTAATTTAGCTCATCTGTCAACAGCTAATTGATTTAGTAAATTAAGACTACTCAGTCATTGATAAGCAATTTGTTATGTTACCCATAATGAATAATGTGTTTTTGAGTCCTTGACTGACTGAACTTTCGCTGTAATGCAGCTATCAAAATGTTTTGGGTATACTGTTGAAGGCACAATAAAACTCTTTGGCAAATAGGAAATTGAAAAAAAATCTTTTTTTTTCTCCAGTTTGTATGCATGTACAGAACTGGAAACTTTAAAGGCAAATGTATTCAGCTCAGTGTGGATTCTTTTGTTAGATAAATTAATATTAAATTATTGTAACTTTGTAGCTATTTTGTGTGATTACAAGGTTGTGGAGGGACAGGGATTCAATGCTTTATTGTGCACTGTCAGCTTTACTTTGATCATGTTTCCTTATCAAAGGAACTGTAATTTTCTTGAATAGAAAATTATTCAAGCAGTAAAGAAACCAATAAAAAATGGCAGTTTCTTCTTACTTTATTTTTTTTCTTCTGTGGATGTTTTATTGTGAAAAATCCGAGATGGCTGTGTTTGGTTTAATGTAGTCCCAGAAAAGTCTGACATTAACGACATGGTTAAATGAAAGCAGGTAAACAATCATATGCATTATCAAAGGAACTTTGATCCTCCTTATCATTCCTGCTACTCTTAATCACAACGGCTTTGAAGCAAAACTTGAAGACTGCCATCAAATGATGTGCTTCTGTGGAAAAAAAGAATAAAGACTCACTCCAAGTCTGAGAGCCAAACAAAAGGAAAGCCAAAGCGCAGATAGCTGCACTGAATGTGTACATACATAAATCTGCATAACTAAAATGTAACTAGTTTAGTTTCTTCTGTTGGGGTGAACAAAAAGGTTTTATGTGAAATACGATTGCGGTACAATTCTTGTCTGTTGTAAATAAAATCAGTCTGGCTGTCTTACTTTCCATTGTGCAGCTTTTCTAATGAAATGCAGCACCAAACTGCAGTTTGATTGGGCTAATTTTGATGCTTTGCTGTTAATTGTCAAGAATGGTTTGCATCACTGAAATGTAAATTGTATAGCTTTTTCTTGTTGATTGCAATAATAAAGAATGATATAAATGAAAAGGACAGCTTTAATCAACAGAGAAATTGATTTTTTTTTAAAAAACTCTTCAATACTTGCATGCACTTGGTTTCAATCAGTTTCCATTCTTAATTTTTTTTTTCATCAAGTTATAATTAAAAGATAACAGGGTGTGTGTGCAGGAAGAAGCTGCTCAGTCTATAGCTTCCACTCCCCCTGTGTTTTTTCATCTCTTTTTCTTTCGTATTTTCTCTCTTTTTTTCAGAGTACATTTAAGTTCAAGTCAGAGAGCGATATCCACTTAGCAGAGCATCACAAGCAGGTGTTGTATGATGGCAAATTGGCTGGCTCCATCGCCTTCACCTATAACGCCAAGGCCACTGATGCACAGCTTTGCCTGGAGTCTTCACCTCGAGAAAATGCCTCGATTTTTGTGCACTCACCACATGCCCTTATGCTTCAGGTTAACTCCGTTATTCTTAACCTGCACACACTTCATCATTCAATGCATTTATTCATGCTGCTTCTTTTCTAATTAATTATCAACATGTTTTATATTTATCTAACAAGGACATTTTTATGACCATCACAGGATGTGAAAGCCACAGTTACACACTCCATCCACAGTGCCATTCACTCCATTGGTGGTATCCAGGTGCTCTTTCCACTCTTTGCTCAGCTGGATTATCATCAGTCCAAGGACAGTGAAGTGGAAACTACAGTCTGGTAAGTTTAAATATTGTTATTGCACGGTGCAAAATCTGCTGTGATGCAGAAGATGTTTAATACAAACTGTTGGTGACAGAAAGCTCAGTTTAGAAATGTGGAAATGTAGAGGTTTTAGTTTTTGATCAGAGACCATTTGTAATTATTTAGGTTCATGTACACTAAATGTAGTTCTGCTCCGCTCCAGTGCAAAGCACAGAGGAAGTCTGAGAAACTTGTGCAGGAAATGCGAGATCGTGCGATAAACCTGGTGATAAATGTGGAAGTCAGAGCAAAATATTAGAAGACAGACTCCAAACACAGTTGAAACTGCGTCGCTGTTGTCTTTTTGAAACTTCTGATTTCAAAATAAATCCATGTGTATCGTGTGTATGCATGTGCTGCACACTACATGTTGCCATCTGCTTCCCAAACAGAACCATACATTTTGACAGCATTTGTGTATAAATTTATCCATATATTTATTAATATACAGCTGGGGTTTCAACAAAATTTAGTCTGCCTTTTGTGAATTATTTTGAAAATACGGATGTAATGATCGTTCCTTTTCCTGTTGGTGGTACATAATCTTTGTAAATTGACTCTGGCGAAGCTCCGGCTTCCGGCAAAAATAGGATTAAATACAAAAAGGCAGATTGGCGTCCACTCACTGCCGCCCTCGGTGTAAATACTCTCATTGAATATAATGATTGTGTATTTGCTGTGGTGGTCAGACTGGTGCGGAGTAGAACTGCTTCCAGTGTAAATTAAGGGTTTGCGAGTGTCTTTGTGGCTGAACAGATGAGGGGAAAAAACATGGAAAACTGATCAAAATAAAGGTGTGGCTGCAACAAGCAGGTATTCTCTTATCTGGATTTTTTGTTTTGTTTTGTTTTACCGCATTTGTTCATGTATAATACGATCTCGAGTATAATACGATCACAATTTTTTTTAGATTAAAAAGCATCAAACATCTAATCATCAATAACCCATGTATAATACTACCCCCCATTTTATGGATGATTTTTAGGGTTACATTTTTAGTGTCATACATGAATAAATACAGAAATATCTTTTCTAAACTAAACTAAACTAAATTAAACTAAACTCACATGTTTCAGTGTCTAAATGTCTCCTAGTGCATGGCAGGTAATGCTTCCACCTTTCATGTGTGTTGACTTAATGCTGTAAAGAGTTTGTTTTCTGCATTTTATAACAGTTTATAAGACTGGAGTTCACTTTTCAATAAAATATCCACTCATTTGTTTCAATCCCTCTCATATCCTGAGTTGATGTGAGCAAAACTTCATGGCTGTGGGTTGGATGGAGTCTGAGCTTTGCTTTAATCCCTGTGTTTGTTTAATGACACGGGTGCTGGAGTGGCCACACAGCAGCACAAATCCTTGATGCCCATAGCTCTCTGCCGCTGTAGATTCCTCTCATGCCCGCTCTCCATTCCTCCTCTTTTTTCATTAGCAAATTAGCATCTTTAGCAGTGTAAAATTCTCCCAAAAACTTGGCATTGTCCTTGCTTAAAGACCGAGTCCCCCATATAAAGCCCGCTGAGCTTTTGGGTTTAAAGGTTTTGCAACAATTAACTCCCTCCTTTGCCTAAAGGCTTTACTGTTCTCAACAGAACTTTCAGAGATGGAATTTTAGAATTTCTCTTTTATTAAAAAACTGTTTCTGATAATTTTCCCTTCCAGTATTAACTCAAAGCAGTAGTGAAATATCAACCAGTACTGCACTGCCAAACTGGAATAAACCAGAGCATGCAGTAAAGGATCAGGAGATAAACCACAAGCACACAATGTTGAGCTTCACCCAGTTTAGGATGTTCTTCCCCATGTCTGTTACCAAAGGCAGATTTGGGGTGGGGTGGGATGGGGGGGGGGGAGAATAAAGTCACAAAACTGACACACAATAGATTGGATCAGTTTGTATAGAGTTTGTAGACACATTATAGGGACAAGCCTGGACAGGACTGATTGTGGTCTTGTTTGTTGAACTGGAGTGAAAACCACTAGAGGATGTGGGGAAAAGCCGATTAAGAAGTGTCACCAAGCATCCCTGTCACTCAGCCAAAAGGCTTCAGCTGAAAAAACCCTGCAACAAAGAAGCAGAAAAAAAAATCTTCACTGCACTGCCTTACCCCTTTGAACCCCTCCTCCCATACAGGCACATTCACACACTGCAACAGTTCAACTCAAAGACCACCCTCTGCCCCCAAGAGAACTTAGAAAACTACCCTTTTTTGTTCAAACTGAAGAGCGATGAAAGAGAGAGCTATGGGTTCCCAGCTGATTGGTGGCATCTTCTGAAAGTGACCTCATTTTTTAAACTACTCCTACTGCAGCAGTTAATTTTGATGATTGTTTCATCATCTGCAGTACGACTTCAACACAATTTTCTGTACGTCATTTATTCTTGTCAACGAGATTAATTATTTACATTTATCTTTTCCACAGTGCCACACTTCTAGCCTTTCTGGTGGAGCTACTTAAGAGCTCTGTGGCCATGCAAGAACAGATGCTGGGAGGAAAAGGCTTTTTGGTCATCGGGTACCTGTTAGAGAAGGTATGGTACAACCTTTGTTACCGTTTTCTCCTCAGACAGATGAAATTGCTTATTTCATAGTCAACATTTCCAAATGTTCTTTCACCCGGTTTGTCACCCTCAATTGCTGCCTTTCACTTTCAATACAGAACTTTGTATTTTTGTTGTAAACTATTATTGTGGATTTCTTTCCAGGCATCCATTTCTTCAGATTCAGTGTAATTGGGTAACTTTATATATTCAACCTCTGTATTGAATTTAGGACAAACAGAAAAATCTGTTTGCTTTTGTCAAGTTTTTCCACTGAATAACACGGCTGCATTTGAAACTTGTCATTGTTCAGATGGACTGCGTCTTTTCTTGTCTTGTCGATTCTCTCAAAGCCCTGTCAGCAGTCTAATCTCCCACTGCCTGCAGCAAAGTCCTGTATGCATCTTTAAACCAAACAGAGCTAGAGGAGGTACATAGCCCCCTCTTTTTGCATCCCTCTTTATTTACCCATTTTGTGACGCAGATCTAGCAGCTGGGATCCCCAGAGTGCTGGCTCTTTCATTGCACTGAGATATGACTCCACTTTGTCACTCAGTGACTTGCCTGCCTGCTGGCTTCAGATGCTATAAAGCAACAGCCAGGCAGAATCGGCACCTGAGAGCTGCTGCTTCTTTTTTTTTTTCTTTTTGTTTCCTTCCCTCCTGCTGCCAGGTTTCACGCTTTCACATACCGTACCATATGTTCATGATATGTTTATGCCACACCTTCGAGTCTTTCTGGGACTTCATTTTTCTCTTTCACTTATTCTCACAAAGTCCCCACCTGGACTGGGAACAACTGCCAGGCACGAGCTGTTCCAGTACTTGTCAAAAGCAGAGCTATCATAACAGTTAAACATCTCACTCATATTCTGTTAAAACATGTTTATTATTCAACAATGTGGCAAAAGAGATGATTTGACTTGATTGTTTCTTTTATGTTGAAAAGCTAATTTGACTCTACACTATTTAATTGAATCAAAACATCTCTTTAGAGAATCATTACTGAGTGGAAAAGTACAATACTAATTCACAAGTAAAAATATTCAGTGTCTTTTTAAAGGTATTAAAGGTAAACTTTTAAACAGAAAACCTTTTGAATAAAGTAGCACAAGTGGAATTTGTAGGTATTATAGCAACCATCTTTTGAAATCCAAGTGTGACCACTAATTTAAATTTAAAATGCCCCTCATTTTATGATTCTAATTTTATATCTGAATATTTTTTCCACAATAAAGGTTATCTCTATATTTTGGAAGGATAAATAAATATTTACTGTTAAATAGTCTCATCAATACGTTTTATTGAGTTTGTGCTTCTCTTACAGTCTTCACGTGTGCACATCACCAGGGCTGTACTGGAGCAGTTCCTCTCCTTTGCAAAGTATCTTGATGGTCTAACACATGGAGCTCCTCTGCTGAAGCAGCTGTGCGACCACATTCTGTTCAATGCTGCCATTTGGATCCACACACCTGCCAAGGTGAGCTTCTGCAAGTAGCTGAGGCTGAGAAAGACACAGAGCTTCAAACTCTGCAAGGTTTTAGTAGTTGTTTGTATAATCGTCTCTTCAGCTGAAAAGAGAAATTCACAATTCTCACACAAAACAGAGCTTTCAATCAGGCATCAAATCCATGTGAATCTGAAGGAGCATTCACTGACAGCAGGTGATTGTGTGGGGGGTAGTAATAAAGCAAATGTGGTAAAATGATTGTCAGTGATGGGAAAACAAAAGAATATTATGATGCTGGAACTTTAAACTCAGCTCACCTGATTGTTGACTCACTGCAAAGTATTTATGGTTATGTTTTTTGTTACACAGTCCTCAATGAACTAAACAAAATGTGCAGCAAAGCATAAGATAAGGGAAATGTTTTTTTTATCATAAGGCACAAACGTTCATGTAGTTTCACATTATAAAACTATGAAATTGTAAATCACTGTAAACTAAGCACTTTAATTTGAGGTGAGTGTAGCGCTGTGATGCATTTCATAAAAGGAACATTTAAAGGTTACAAACACGCTCCTGTTTTACTTTCCTGAAATGAAGTCCTTTCACTCACCAGAAGTAGCTTTTTTTATTCCCTTTTTACATAATTGCTCATGAAAATTAGATAAGTTATATCTAAGAAGCCGATTTTGTGTAGCAAATGCATTTGTCATTTGCCATTAGGAGACAAACAATGAATAAATGAAAGAAGAAATGAAAAGAAATGCAACAATATCTAGGGATTTGCTTTCACTACTCATCTAAAATGAAGCACAGAAAATGGAGGAAAATTGAGAAAAAAACGTTTGGTAATGAGATGGGCTAGAATACTTCTTGCCGCTGTGGGACATAGCTGCTCAATCTCCTTTTCCTAGGCGACCACAATGTCCAGATTTTTGTTTCAGTTAGCTGCACAACTTATGGCTAACAAAGTAATTTGATATATTGTCCACAAACCTTATTCTTGTGGACAAATACAGTATGACTTTTCTTCTCTGTTCTACGTAATGGGGAAAAAATGAGGTCCTTTCACCTTTAAGAACATAAACAAGTCAAACTTTTGTTTTTACTTACTTGTGTCATCTTACGTTATATAGCAGGGCTATTCAACTGGTGGCCCGCAGGCCACATCTGGCCCGCAAGTGACCAAAGTTTGGCCCACCAATTGGTTCATTCATCTCTTTAGCCCAAACTCCCAGTTTTTTTACTTTAAGTTCTTTTAGTTAGACATAGACATGTTTGGTGTCTACAGAAACGTCAGAATCTTGGCTACAAGCTGGTAAAAACCATTTCTATAAACACTCAAGACAGTTAAAACTGCAAGCAGTTGAAGGTAAAATGATGAAAGTGAAAATAAAATTGATTCAAAAAATTTGGCAAGTCAGATGTCACAATATTTGTGTCAAATAGGAGGCATCAAGTGTTATTTTTGTTTTTGATTGTGTTTAATTGTCACTACTTTTATAGGGTTCTGTATGTTGTATTCATGATTAAATGCATCAAAATAAACTAATTCAAAGGTAACAGATCTTTGTAATGCTTGCTTTATTTACATAATAACTTTGATTGCTGTATGTTCGACCCCTCAGCTGTTGACAGGCAGTAACTGTGGCCCCCGGAGCAATTTAGTTGGATAGCTCTGTTATGTAGTTAAATAAAACCATTTTAGCAGCTATAGTTACAACACATGAGTGAAACAATGAGGTGGGTAGGGGGTAAAGGTATGAACGTCTTGATTGCTTTTAAAAGGGGAAAAAATTGATGCAATAAACTAACTTTATATTTTAAACTGAACATCAGAGGCCTGTTAATATTTATGGACATTTGTTTGCTTTCTATCAGGTACAGCTGTCCTTATACACATATCTCTCTGCTGAGTTCATTGGCACAGCAACCATCTACAACACAATCCGTCGGGTTGGCACCGTCCTCCAGCTTATGCATATGCTGAAGTACTACTACTGGGCCATCAACCCTGTAGACAACAGTGGCATCACTCCAAAGGGTCTTGGTGAGCATCTTTAAGATTGTGAATGCTGCTTAGCAAATGTCCGACCTAATTACAATGATTATTTGCAGTGAACAGGATTTGCTTTGTTCGGTTGTCTTTTAAACTTGTTTTGTTTTTTATCCATCTAAATGCTAATCGAAGTGAAGCTTAGTGTTTTGGAATAGAAATGGTTAGAAGTTAAACCAATCACAAACACTGTGTGCATTCACAAGCCTTCTATCATGCTGGAAATGGCAGCAGCTCCACCATATTTTAAATCACTCATCCCCACATGGTGGTGTGTCAGCTGTTGGAACTGCGGCCTTCCCAGGAGATGGCAGCGAGGCAGACAAGTCGTATCAGTATTGTCATCCCGCTAGGGTGCTTGGTGTGGGTGTTGAGTCTATAAAACTCAGCTCAGCGGAATGACTGGCACACTCAGTCTGTGAAGCAGCAAGTCACGAGCAGGCAGTAAAGGAAAAGAAAGTCTCCTTGAACTGACATTTCCTTTTAGCTAGCCTTTTTTTTTTTCAGAAACGACCCTCTTTGTAATACAGGGGATGTTTTCTATTGGTTTTGAGAACCCAGTTTACGCCTCACCAATGAAATTTCCTTGCTGAAGGTTAAAGCTTGATAGTGTTGATGTAGTACTCACACAGAGGTCATTTAATTAAAAAAATGCTTTCAATACATTGAAACATAATCTTCATGGGCTGTGTTAGTCAGGTGAATATTGGACCTATTTAGTACAGTATCTATTACCTGCAGCTTTGATTTGGCAGAGAGACTGTCATCTCATATTTGTAGTCATTTTTATACATAATATGAGCACATGTTCACGTTTTTTCTTTTAATTTGGTGATCTTCCTCGCTTTCCATTACCATAGTTATTTCTTAACCCATTTACTTGCTTAATGTGTCTTGTGCAAGAAAGTTGAACCTGATCTTGAAAATGAATTTAGCTCTGACCTTTGTGGGCCAATTCTCACCATCTTTTAAACTTTAGTCCTATTTTGGTAGCAATAAATCATTTAATATGGAAATCAATTATTTTATAAATTTTTTATGAAGTCCACAGAGTGAATTTGCTTTGTGTAGGCACAAAACAAACTTTCAAACAAGCATTTTTTGAATGTATTGGTTTGTTGAAAACATGAACATAAAATAGTTTGAGTTGATGGAACAAAACTGAGGAATGTGTCTTGCGTTGGTCAGATGATAGCATCACTCCTTTCTTCCAGGATTAGAGCATAAACCAATGTACAGGGTGAATCAAAAGTCACAGGACACCTTGTATTTCAGAACACAAAGGGAAAATGACAAATCTGAGTACCTTAGCAAGTAATAGGTGATGGGGCTTATCTTTGAAAAACCTTTCAAGATAGCAGCCATGTTCTGGACAGCCCCCTTACTCATTACTTACTGGGACATTTAAATATGTAATTTTCCCTTTTCTTTACAAAATAAAATGGTGTCCTGTGGTTTTTAACTCACCTTGTAGTTTAGATAAATGTTACTTTGTTGGAATAATGAACTCTTGAGTTAAAACATCTCAAAATGGATCACTTTCCTGTTGCATGTTATTTTCTAACAGCCTCATTCTATTTGTCTTTGCTTGATTTGACAGTTCACTTTTCTCTCTGTCCTTTCAAACAGAGGAATGACCAAACAAATGCACGTGAGAAAAAGGATTGAGCCAAGCGGATAATGAAGTGCTGAATTATAGGACACAATGAGGACATTTAAAACAGATTCCCTGCAGCTACTCATCCTTTTTCTGGACGTTCATCTCCATTTTTTCCCTGCAGGTCTTAATAGAAAGTTCTATCAAATTAAAGCCATGCATCATTCAGTTATAATGTAGGATCAGTTCCAGCACTCCGACTGATGATCATTGCTTGGTTTTTCTCAAATGTGACATGTATTCACAGTCAGGTTATAATCTGTCTCAATCTCTGTCACTCTCATTTTGTGTTAGTTTCTTCACTGGTTTTTTTATGTCTAAAAATTTTTTTAATAAGATGGGCTGCAAAAGTTTTAAAACAGACTTTAGATTCAGTTTGTTTTGTTTTATATTTTAAGAAAGAACCTTGAAAATATTAGGAAATCTTGTTTTATTATTGAGTTTTTTTTTACTTTTGAGTTTATTTTTGGATTAATTAAACAAACAAGACTCATTTTCCCCCTCTGTGTTACATCAAAATGTTTTTTCATTGCCATTTGAGGTCTGCCTACTCCAGCTCTAATCACAGCAGGTTAAATAGACACGGCTTGCTGTCATTTGAATTCTGTAATCCTGCAACTGCTACTGAGAGAATAAAAATCATAGATTTTTATCAGCATTTGTTCATTTAATCAAGAGAACTCCGAGCACACATAATAAACCATGTTTATTTATTGAATGGTTTGTACATACATAAAGGACGCATGCTATTGTCTTGAGTTCATTATTATCATTCATAAGCTGCAATGAGATTCCTGCAATAATCACATGAACGTAAATTGTTTTTCAATAAGCTCTTTCTCCTTGTGCCCTTGGGATGCAGGAATTAAACCAATCTTTGAATGAGAAACAAGAGCTGTGCCGAGGTGGTGAGCATAATTGCTTGTGAATAACTTAGATGTGGTAGCTGTGGTAATAATGTTCTTATCATCCCTTTCATGTTGGGCTCTGTCCCTACGGTGGGTTTTCCTTTCTCCTGCTATTAATCAGTGTCGGGATGCAGTAGCACTTAGCTTCCTCCTGCAACCTCAGGGAGCCTCATCATCGATTATATTGACCGCGTGCAGAAGCAGGATGGTCAGGTGTCGGCTGCCACTGTATCTGCCTCGTTTCAAATGAACACATGTTCAGCCAAGGCAGAGGTTGGAGTTTATCAGGAGAAAAAAGGGGGGGCACTGGGCAAAGTGACCAATTTTCTCTGAATTGCTTCTGCAATTGTATTTGACCCAGTTACTGCCATATAATAGCTTTGCAGCTGCATAAGATTTTGTCAGTGTCTTAATACCTTGCTTTTCTCACAGAAAGAAAAAAAGAAATGAGTTGATATATAGCAGGATTTATTGGCAGTGAGCCCAAGTAGTCTTACTATTGGTTTGTTTCTGGAAGAGGTAATATAGGCTTATCCTGTATTTTCTGATGTGCTTTACTAAAGACTTCTGTTTTATTGATATTTAGCCTCTAACTAGCAGCCTAGTTGCTTAGTGTGCAGTACAAACAAGGTTTGGTTAAAAATCAGAAAGCTTTGTGTTTTAAATAAACAGATCTGATGTTTTAAGCATGAGTTATTGCAGTAGCAAATCACACACTAATAATAATAATAATATAATAATAATAATAATTAATAATAATAATGGTTCTCAGTGTGTTATGGTTTGACATTATTCTTTGTTGATGCAAGATGCACACACTTGCCAACACTGCCCGGCTCATCAGATGTGTAAAGATGCTCACAACAGAAATGGATTTGAATCCCAGCCTACCTTCAGAATGCCAAAACGACCTTAAACTGGCAGAGGAATTCGGGGCAGATTTAATGAGTTGTTGGCTCATGTGATGGGCAGGTGTGAGTAGGGTAACCTTGTGCTGGAGGTCTGAGTTTAATGTTGTGGCCAAGGTTAGCTGACAGACGCAGCGAGTTTGGATGCAGCACAGATGACAAATCCACCTGGGACGAAAAAGCCAAATAATCTTTTCTTAAATTTATAGCATTAACTGTAACAGCTAATGAACACGTTCTTTTCTGTTTTCACAAGGGTCAAGGTTGCTGTTGAAGCAGGAGAAACATTTTTTTAAAAGCACAATACTGTAAAACCCAAATATGTTTTAGATTGTGTTCTTGATTTATTAACTCTTTTTCTTAAAAACCCAGAGGCAAGACTTAAAAATGAGCAGCAAAAACAGATGTTTTGTCTTTTTAATTTGGTATCTTCCTGTATTTTATTGCCTATTTTAATGTCTCTAACTACAGATGGTCCAAGGCCAACCCAGAAAGAAGTTGTTTCTCTGCGAGCGTTCATGCTTCTCTTCCTCAAGCAGCTCATTCTGAAGGTATGTCCCACCTGTCATCCTGCATCACAGTCCCCCGCACAGCTGCATGAAGAAAATCAAGATCGTGTTTGTGTTAACTTTGACAACGTTTTACAGCTCAGCTCCTTTAACATGCTAAATGAGATTAAAGAAAAATTTAAGTAATAGCTGAAAATTGCATTACATAAAGATTGTCCTTGACTGACAGTATGTTTAAATAGCTGTGTTCATGCTTTCCTTGTCATAATGAAGGTAGTACAAGTTTTAATAGAGTTATATTAATATAGCTTATAGGTAGATACTTTTTAAATCCCAGGGTAACCATATTTGTTTTCTAGTCACCATTCTGAAGCTACTTACCTTGTTTATCATTTATTATTTTGGCTTAATCTGTTTTTCTGTCTCCTTTTTTAGGATCGAGGCGTGAAGGAGGATGAATTACAGAGCATCCTGAACTATTTGCTAACAATGCAGGAGGTACACGGACTCTTTGTTTGCTCAAAGAAAATCTGCTCAGTCTTATGTTCTGCCACCTTCCTGCCTTGGGCTTCAAGGTCACAAATCCTCTTCAGAATATTTATTTAATCTGCAATTTATTTTCCTACCAAAACAAATGGATATTTCTGACTGCCAGTGGGCTAGTCAACTATTGTTCATTTCCTGTTGCAAGGTGTGCCAAGGACTTTTGCTACTACTGGTGGGATGGGGGGAAAAAAGCAATTCCCCTTATCCCCTGGACTTTTATGAATAAGATTTTATTATCCATTGGACCTGCACCGATAAGGGGATTAAAAATGTTATCCTGCGTAGAATAAGAAAACCGGGGCCTACCTTTGGAGTAGTAGTAGAGATCTCCCCCAAACACCTGGTGGTCATATCAGTGGTGAAGTGATGTGAACAACTTTCACTGTAGGGTCTGGTGTTGTACCAGACTGGTGAGGAGGAGTGCATTGGTTCTTGCTTTGTGAGACCTCTGTTAAAAGTCCAAAGCAAGTAAGGTTCAAAGATTGCAACTCAAAACTGTTGATAAAAAAAAGGCTGAAAATTAGTTATGTTCCCTGAAGGGGCAGAACTTTCTAGCTGAGATTTGAACTAAAACTGAAGGATGTAGAAGGAGTTCACTGTGAAGACCCTGTGTCATTTATTTTCAGTGGTCAGGTGTCTATGACTGGTTACCTAATGTGTATGCTCACTTGATGTCTTGATTTAGATGTTTACTAAGCTTAGAGAAATGGGCAGAAACTCCATTGTTGACCCAGAAAAAGCTGGATGGCTTGTATGTGCCAGCTGGTCAGAGAGCAGCTGGTGATCCCACAAAAAAAAGAGTCTGATGAGGTTGATAAAGATGGGCAATTCTGGGCATCTCTCCTCCTCGTGTTGCTACTGCAACTGTTACATGAACCGAGAGGATTGGAAAGTGCATAATAACAGCTGCGGGAGACAGAAATGATGTCTTAACATTTACACAAACACTGTTAAATTGTATTCTGTCTCTTCTGCTGCTCCTTTCTCTGTGTGTTCTCAGGATGAAAATCTGCATGATGTGTTACAGTTGGTGGTGGCTCTGATGTCTGAGCACCCAGCTTCCATGATCCCTGCTTTTGACCAGAGAAATGGAATTCGGTAAGCCTCCCATTTTGCTTGGTTACAAGATGAAAGAGTGATTTACCAAAACAAATCTAGGCTACAATTGCTTGTATTCCAGAGCTGTGTGGTGTATAAATAATGCATATATTCAAAAAACGCACACACTTAACATAGAAAAATACATTTTAGAGGATGTATTATTGTTTTGCTGGAAAAGCATTTGAACTGCAAAAATTGTTCATCTAACAACACAGAGGCATACAGCCGAGGGCATTCAAAAGTCTCACAATCTCATATCTAGCAAAACGTTTTTTTTTTTTTTGTTTGTTTTGAGACTGATATACTAAGCAAGAGCAGAAAATGTTAGATTATTAATCTTGTTTGCCTAGATTTTTTCCCTTATTTCAAGAAGCCTTACCAAGTGCAATTATTTTTAGTGCACTGGCAGATTATTTAGTTTAATTTGAGAAGATTCAGACTATAATCTAGTATTTGCTTAAACTTTTTTAGATGGCAATTTTTTGCAACGTATTTAGGGATTACTTTAGGTGCTAAGGTTTAGCACCAAGGTGTGAATTGAGTTTAAAGGGGATCTATTATGCAACATTCACTTTTTTAAATGTTTTTAAACTCAACTTTGGGTATGCACTTATTAAAAAACAGTCCTAGGACCAAAAAATGCACCCAGGGGCATATTTACTGTAAGTAAATGTATTTTTAATGTGTATTAACGACAAATTTTATACGTCCGTCATTTTGTGATGTCACAAGTCGTATGACAACCCACCGGAACCTGCGTTCAGCCCCTTACCTAGCAACCCCCGGGTGAGACTCCACCTCCTCAATATAAAAAGCCGTCACCATGTTGTTGTGCAATGTGCAGCTCATTTCACAACAAGCCTCCAATAGAGCAATGGGTAGAGTGTTGGACCAAGGAGTGGGAGACCAGGGTTTGAGACCAGCACAGAAACAATTTAATTATATATTTATTTTCGTTCGTTGTGAACACGTTTTCTCATGTACCTCTATTGTTTAGCTTATTAAAGCCTTGTTAAAGCCTATTTGTTCGAGTTTCTGAGGTATTTTCACCGCTGCTGCTCCCTGCTCTGGTAACAGCATGCAGAGTGAGTGCAGAGCAGAGGAGGGAGAGAAAAAAAAGAAAGAAGCTGTGACCAGACTCTGCCTCTGGGTCTCACAGGGTCTCATATGGTTGTACAACGGAGCTTCTGCTATTATTAGCCATGCTAACGTAAACGCTGGCTTTGGAGGGCGGAGTTAATGTCAACAGATTTTTGGAGGGCGTTACCAACAGAGCTCATTAACATAAACAGCTCTTCTGAACGGAATTCAGAGCAGGCAGAACTAGAAAATGGGAAATTTTATTATCTGAGAATTATTTTGAGCATTAAATTGAACGAACATGTCTGGATAGCCCACAGACATACCATAAAAATTTCTAGGACCCATAATTGGTCTCCTTTAAGTTAGTTTTAGGGTCAGGTAAGTACCTGTGAGGTTAATTTTAGGGTAAATGGTCAAGGTTAGGATATAAATTTCCAAAAATATAATTGGAAGTCAATGGAAAGTCCCCACAAGGATAGAGACACATAGTAGGTGTGTGTGTGTGTGTTTGTTTTTTGTTTTCTTTTTTGTAAGACAATGCACTGTTGCTAATTTCTACTGACATGTCTTTTTCCAGGGTCATCTACAAGCTCTTGGCCTCCAAGAGTGAAAATATTCGTGTACAGTCCCTCAAAGTTCTTGGTTACTTTCTGAAACACCTGGGACACAAGTAAGCAAAAACTTCTGTAGCATTTCATAGATGGTAGATAAATATTTTAGTGCTCTTTTAAAATTCAACCAATTTTCACATCTTACAAAATAAATCTGTATTGTATTTTTTTAATACTGTGGTCTCTGGTTGTGTTTATAGTTTGGTCGTGTTGATGAAATGCCTTCTCAGTGACACAAATGCTAGCAGAGTAGAAACCATTATATCATAGAGTGAGGTTTCCGTTAGAGAGAAGAGTCATGTTCTCCTGCAGCAAAGAAAAAAAAATTCTTGACAAGATGCCAGTTTTGCAAATTGAGGTGCTTCACTTTGTAGAATACCTCGCGTCTTGGCATTGTGCCTCAAACCCATGAATTCACTTAAGTGCAGTATGGAAGAGGTCTAAGTCACTGTCTCACAAAGTAAAATGAATGAAATTCTATCCACAAGGATGTCAGCAAATCATGCCTCGACTGTACATGAGCAATGAGAGGGGATGCCTGTGGCTGGACAGCTTCTGCAGGTAAATGCAGGCAGTAGGGGTGAATGGTGACGATAACGAGCAGCGCTTTGCTCACAGCAGTAGAGCAGCAGTTCATGTTAATACTGAATGAAGAATAAGGGTAGGCATAAGCGCACCACCTCAGGTACAAATGAAGAGCCTATTTTATTTATTTTATATTTATTAAATGGTAAAGCACAGTCTGGTTTATTGTGCTACCCTAAAGTTTTTGTTAATGTGTCATATGTATCTGAAAAAAACACAAAAATACAAGTACAGCAGTTGATTAGAGGCCAAATGAATAAGAATAAGGAAGAAATGGTGACATTGGGTAGAATTATTTAATCTCGTAGCCACACGATAATAACACATGACCATTGGGAGATATAACACATTGCCATGTGATAATTATGTCGTGGCCACAAGATAAATATTGCAGTCATTTCCACTTGCGGGGAGGACCATCAAGGTCATGTGCGGTGTATGCCAGGCAGCAGGTGATGGAGGGTCACTCCTGGTGGCATAGACTAGCTCTAAGGATGTGGAACATAACTTCCCTTATGAGTAAGGAGCCAGAGTTTGTGCGTGAGGTTGAGCATTTCCAGTGAGACATAGTTGAGCTCACCTCTACTCATAGCTTGGGCTCTGGAACCCAACTCCTAGAGAAGGGCTGGGCTCTCTCCTACTCTGGATTTGCCCAAAGATAGAGGTGTAGGGTGGGTGTGGGGATACTCGCAAACCCCTGGCTGTATGCCTCTGTGTTGGAGGTCTTCCTGGTGAATGAGAGGGTTGCCCCTCTGTGGCTTTGTGCTGCAGGAGAGAAGGTTCTGACTGTTGTCTGAGCCTATGCACCAAACAGTTCAGATTATCCGGCCTTTTTGGAATCTTTGGATGATGTCCTGAAAGGGTTGTTGTCGTCGGGATTACCTTGATCTACTAGGTGACTTCATGCCCCATGTGGGCAGTGACCGTTATTTAGAAAAGGGTGATTAGGAGGATCAGCATCCCTGATCCGAACCTTAATGATGTTCTGTTATTGGACTTTTCTGCTAAGCATGGGCTGTCCATAATGAACAACATGCTCGAGCATAGGGTGGTCCATACCAGGCCACCTTACGTCAAAGATCGTTGATCAGTTTTGGAATAGTGTCGTCTGACCTGTGGCCCTTTGTCTTGGACACTTGGGTGAAGAGAGGGGCAGAGCTGTCAACTGATCACTACCTGGTGGTGATGGATCTGGTGGTGGGAGAGGCTGCTGGACAGACCTGGTAAACCCAAACACATAGTGAGGATGAACTGAAGCGGGAACATCTGGCAGAGTCAGAATGGGTACCGTACTAAAAATATTATTTAGCATTGCAACAAGCAAATTTTAACCTAATGCTGTTATGAAGAAAGGCTAAACACAAATGCCATTTCATGTTGATAATTTAGAACTAATCATGCCGTCTGATGTAAGAATGCTTTCTCTCCCCTAGCAACATCTTTTAAATGTGTTCTCACTCAATGGCCTACATCCAGTACTCATGGTGCCTTCATTTTCACATTTTGCAAACTGTTAAATTAAAATGCATCCAGTTAAAAAGAGAATGACCCTGAATTTACTCATGAAAGCATTTCCAACAAGACTCATCTATTTGATTGAACAGAGTCGAATTGTTCTGTTCAGCTCACTATGCATCACGAGTCTGACTTTTTCACCCTCGTTTCTGTACTTATATAGTTGAGAGAAACGCTGCTCTTTTCTGAAGCTTCCAGTTTGCCAGCTAAACTAAGTACAAATTGTGTTGACTTGTTAGGAAAGTCCTGACTCTTTGAAGCAGTGGCAGCAGAATAAAGAAGCTTTGGGTGAACATTGTGACAGCCTTCCTTGTGCTGTGTGCAGATGCCGTTTGTCACAGTTAAACTTATTCACCTGTGGTATGCCTCGGTATCTTGGCGCCGCTCCTGCTGACAGGCTAACTTCTTTATCCACACACCTTTTACAAAATTCACCCAATTTATGACAGCAGGCACTTCCTGACACTCGGCTCCCCTGTGGGCGGGAATACGGATGCAAGCTGATGGCACGCTCTGATTTCTGAGGCTTAGGAAGTTCCAAACAAGCCACTTTGCCATTATGTGTGTCTTTGTTTCTGCAGAAGGAAGGTGGAGATAATGCACACACACAGCCTTTTTACTCTTCTGGGCGAGAGACTTTTGTTGCACACCAGCACTGTCTCTGTTACAACATACAACACCTTGTATGAGGTAACACAATGTTTTGCTCTCAGATGTTCTAGCATTATTGTTATATTGGCCTTGGTGTGTTTGTAACCAGTCTTTTTACTGCTTCTTGTACAAGATTCTGACAGAGCAGGTGTGCACACAAGTAGTTCACAAACCTCATCCTGATCCCGACTCCACCGTCAAGATTCAAAACCCAAGTAAGACTGTTTGATTTCATATAGATTTACCCTTTAATTTGTTGAAACTGACTGCTTACACATTTTGCTTTTCTGTTTGAATATCTGTCATATCAGTGATTTTGAAGGTGGTGGCAACTTTACTGAAGAACTCTGCTCCCAGCACGGAGATGATGGAGGTTCGGCGGCTCTTCCTTTCAGATATGATCAAACTCTTTAGCAACAGTCGAGAGAACAGACGGTGAGCAACACTTGGATGCATTTTTCTTTCCCTGGATCATTTCATTTGATCCACGCTATTAATTATTTAAAAAAATTAAATCAAAGGGGGAAAATGATTTTTGCCATATTTAATAGGCTAATGTTGATACTAAATAAACTTTAAATATGTATATTTTCTTCAGCAGATGGTTGTGCAACTGTTTTTTAAGAGCTACTCTTTTCTTTTTTTCTTCTTTGCTCATGTTCAACTATTTCTGTCTGATATACAAACACACACAGAGAATTCATAAATATTCATAGCACTTGAAAAAAAAAAACATTGACCTAAATAAACACAAATAACCCGACATAAGGCTTAGTCATGGCATATACTTGTATTAAATATGAAGAAAACTTACTCTATATTTCCATGTCATTTTATTATTACTGTCAGTTTGCTCTTGTTTTTATGAACAGTTAATAAATTTACTGTTTAAACTTACAAATTACACTATAATTTCTTACTCAAAACCTTGCAATTGTTTGTGTTAAGATTGTTTATTTTAACATATTGCGCTTGTTTTTAATGGGAAAAGGTAGTTATGTATTAGTTAAATGCGTATTGGTTATGTTTTTATTACTTCAGCTTAAATAGGCTATCAAACTTTTGTAATAGACTTTTTATGCCTTGTATGTTGTAGATGTCTGCTGCAGTGCTCTGTATGGCAGGACTGGATGTTTTCCCTTGGCTACATCAACCCTAAAAACTCCGAGGAGCAGAAAATCACTGAGATGGTGTACAACATTTTTCGTATTCTGCTCTACCATGCCATCAAGTATGAATGGGGAGGATGGCGCGTGTGGGTGGACACTCTCTCCATAGCCCACTCAAAGGTAAGTACTGTACAAAAGAGAGAAACACTGACCTCTGCTGTTGATGGAGACATTTTAAACTGTTCTGTCAAGAATCCTCTGAACTTCCTTTTCAGTTTGGTAATATTTTGCTGAAAACGATCATTGATCTTTTTTTAATCCACAGGTGACATACGAAGCACACAAAGAATATTTGGCTAAGATGTATGAAGAGTACCAGCGCCAGGAAGAAGAAAATATCAAGAAAGGGAAGAAGGGGTTGGTCAGCACTATCTGTGGCTTATCTGCTCAGGCCTCAGGTATCAAAGACGTGATGGAGATTGGAGAAATGGACGATAACTCCCAAACGCCTGAAAGTGAGACGGACTACGATAGTGCTGACTCGCGTCACCTGTTGACTGAAAAGAAGGGAGCTGAAGATGGCGCTGAAGATGGGGTCAGGGTTGAAGTTCATGACCTGCTGGTGGACATAAAGGCTGAAAAAGTTGAAGCTACGGAGGTAAAGCTGGATGATATTGACATGTCCTCTGAAACTTTGGGAGTGTCTCAGAATGGACCACTGGTTGAGGTGGATTCTCTGTTGGATAATGTTTACTGTGCGGTTGTGGGAAACCTCGACGGTAATGTCAGCAATATGTTGTTACCAAAGGACAGTATGGACAGCCATAATACCGGCCCTCTCATTACACTGGATGATGACAAGGATGGCATCCCTCACAGCAACAACTTCCTGTTTGGCAAAGTGACAGGCGGGATAGAGGACAAGCTGCTGCCTGATCTCAGTCCAGCTGTGCCTCTGGTCCTGCCTAGTGCAGAACTGCCTGTTCACACTGACCCGAGGGATGAGCTCGGCCTTCTGGCTCACATGACAGGCAACTCCTTGCCCAGCATCCTAGAGAAGGATGAGTTTGACCTTAAGACAGCCCTTGAAGGTATCAGCTCTGTCACTGCGACTGAAAATGAGAACTCCAAAATCTCAGAATCCGACACAACTGCTCCTGAAACAGTCCCCTTGTCTGATACCCCTGACACTGCCAGATCAGATGATGGCAGGGGCAGGGATATGAAAAAGATTCAGACTACAGCCACGACACAGGTTGGTATTAAAACAACGTACTTGATTTTCATTTGATGTTCCTTTGTCTTTACACGTAATGTACAAAAGACCTGTTGCTATTTTGAGATCTGAAAAAAATGGGAGGGTGATTTTGTCAAAACAAAACCTACCTCAAGGTTCTGAGGCAACAGAAAGTGAAACAATAGATAGAGAATAAATTGAATAAGAAAACTAAGGTCATTGTCAAACTGCTGTGGCCTCTCTCTGGTTTTATATTAGCAGACCCACAGAGATCATTTTATTTACATATTGTAGATGTAATGGGGACAGAAGGGCCTGGTGCACATCATGCACCATCCCCCTAAGAGTCAAGAAACTGGGTTGCTGAAATGGTTGGCTAAGGCAACAGAAGGGAGACTAAGACAAAGTGTTATTCTCCAACAGTCGCCTGGGATTTGTTTATTGCTCTCTTTCTCTGTGCTCCTTTTCAGAGGTCAGGCTCTTTTGCCTGACCTGGGTCACCGACGACAGGCCAGCGGGAAGCAGTATTTATTTATAACCTCCTCTCTCTGCAGTTGCATAATTGCTCATGTTGAATTCATCGTTGCTGCTTTTTAAACAGGCTTTTTGCAGCACCTTGCTGACTCATTCATCTCATTTTAGAGGTTACAGTGAGCATATATTATTTTTTTCCTCCTGTACCAAGAGGCAGAAAAAAAGTTATATAACAGTTCACTTTAAATGTCTTTTTTTCCCAAGCATGGTAAACATCATGGCATTAGGAATTAATCTGATTATGAATGTGGCATTGTTCAGGGCAGTAGGATTAGTAAACTGTCTCTGTACTTTACAGTGGGCAGTAATTGTTTCTGCCTTATTAAACTGCATTTGTTTTAGTGATAAATTGGTCTTCCATCAGAGTCTGCATGGACGCCTCATCTCTCAGGTGGACAAGGATGTACGTGTGGACCTAGGCTTTAGAGGAGTACCCATGACAGAAGAACAGAGACGTCAGTTCAGCCCTGGTCCACGCACCACAATGTTCCGCATCCCCGAGTTTAAATGGTCAAGCATGCATCAGAGGCTGCTCACCGACCTGCTGTTTGCACTGGAGAGCGACGTCCACATCTGGAGAAGGTGTGTAAAGTGAACTTGAAAGACAAAAAGAGCTTAATGTGACAACAATAGCAACTATTGAAATATCTCTCCTTTTATTGGTTTAATGATTTGTATGAGAATATAAATCGGCAGGATTAGCATATGTGGAAAAACAGTTGTTCCCATAATTTTTTTCTCACCTTTCCCTGCAGCCACTGCACCAAATCTGTTATGGACTTTGTTAACAGTAATGAAAACATCATTTTTGTGCACAACACCATCCATCTCATCTCCCAAATGGTAGACAACATCATTATTGCCTGTGGAGGGATTTTACCTCTTCTTTCAGCAGCCACCTCTCCTTCTGTAAGTGCATTTTTTTCTGACTTTAGTAAAAGGAAGTGTTGCCATCTAGTGGTAGCGTGTTACAACTGTATGGTTGTTAAACAGCTGTTACCATAATGAATGTACTGGTGGGACATGGAACTTGTGTTTAATGATTGGTGTTACCTCAGTGTGCTCATCTTTTTTTCTATGGACATTAATCAGTGCAGTTTCTTAGGTTTCTAATGAATTTCCTTTGATAAATTTATCAGACTTTGCCAGTTGTATCAATTATTATTTCTCGTATTGGTCTGACTAGACTATCAAATTTAGTATTTGGGCTGTTTAAAGTTATACATCATATCCATCACTATATTTTTCATATCAGTTTTTATTTTAATACGTTTTTGTCTCAGAGATTTACTTATGACAGCAATAGTAATAGATTATCCTGCTTTATTTTTCTGATGTTCTATAGTTTTCACTCCTAAATATTTTGACTCTTATATGCTTTTTTACTTTGTTGTTATTGTTGTTCAAAATATGGTCCAATCACAGCTAGAAATGAATTCTTTAGATAAAACCTGCTTTTTAATTAGTTATTTTGTTTTCTGTCATTTGCACAAGTCGGAGTTGGAGAACATTGAGGCCACGCAGGGCATGTCCTCAGAGACTGCCATCACTTTCCTGTCCCGTCTCATGGTTATGGTGGATGTTTTGGTCTTCTCGAGTTCTCTCAACTTCAGTGAGATTGAGGCCGAGAAGAACATGTCCTCTGGTGGCCTGATGCGTCAGTGCCTCAGACTGGGTAAGATCTGTTCGTGTGACTCTTTGCTGCCGTGGATGTGACTGTCAGTCCGGAGAGGTGGTGAAGAGTTACAGTAACATTATTTGCTGCTTGTACATTGGAAACTCAATGAGCTGTTAAATGCCTTAATGGTATTCTTTGCACACAATCTAATAATTCCTCTAAGCCCTGAAAATCCTCTGTTTGATCAGCAGAACTAAATAGTTGAGGGATCCTTTTGTATTTGTTTGATAAACTGTAGAATGCAAAAGCCTTCAGTGCGGTTTTTAGTTTCCAATTTTCAATTAGCAGAGATGATGATTTGCAGGGCTATCAGGTTCTTCATGCAAATGGTAGCTGTTTGTTTTTCATAAATGTCTTTATTGGACTCTGAGCTTTTCTTTGCCCATTTTCTGTGGTTTTATGTTAATATAATTCCTTCAATAATTAATGTGGACAAGTTCAAATGTCTAAAATAAGAACGGTTATATTCCAAGTTTATCTGTTTTGTGGAAATATTGTAAACAATCAGTCATAGAAAATGTTTATTTTATTTTTGCTTGTCAGTTCATTTTTGTCCAAATTTGTTCTTGTCTGTGGGTTTGTGTGACTGTTGTTTCCAAGTTGAGGTCTTGGGATGGGAAATAGCCTTCAGACTGCAATGTCCTTGTTGCAAACAGTTTCTCATCACAGCTTTGGTGTGAAATTGGTTTGGCTGTTGATTTTCCTGCTGCTCAGCTCCCTGTCGGCCTGGAACAGTCATCACATATTACTGATTAGGCTTAAAGTGGTCATGCACATTATCAACATTTAATTTTTATTTGATTTGAAAATGAGACTATTTGTGCACTCTGTGTGTGGTTCTTTGTGTACAGTGTGTTGTGTGGCTGTAAGGAGCTGTCTGGAGTGCAGACAGAGACTCGGCAACAGAACTCAGGAAATCCTGCAAAATACTGTGGCTTTGAACAAGGTAGGGTTGAATGTCACATCACGTTTTATATCTTTAGTTCTTATGTCTGGGCTCTTTATCGCCCACCATCATCAGTAATATATCTTTATGAACAGGTTTTAATGAAATTCAAAATAATCATTGTGTGTACATCTACAAATGGTTAACTTCAGAAGTGAACCCCGTTAAAGATTACCACCACATCTTGTTAGTTTTAGCAAACCCAGAATTGACTATTACAGATATTTATCTGAAATGTGGTTGGGTAATAACTGAGATTCATCCCAAATACACACTGAGGTCTTCATTTAAAACATACAAGGTGATAAATAATAAGCAAATTCAAGGAATGCTAATACTTTAGAAATATAATTACTGTAAAACCATTTTGTCCCATTTTCACATTGTGATAGTGTCTTAAAATGAGGTAGTGTCTCTTTTTGCACATTGTGTGATGGTAAATTTGCTTATTTGTTGATTTAAAAATCTTCTGTTATCCTTTAATTTTTCTATTTTAAATTTTAAATGAAATTCAACTTGTCTGACTGGGTTTATTTCTGTTTTAGACGAGCATGGAAACTGCCCCCACCAACCTGTCTCCCATCAAGGACCCCGATCACCTTCTGCAGGATGTGGACATCAATCGACTCCGAGCTGTAGTGTTTCGTGACGTGGTGAGTCACGCTCATATTCACAACCAGCATGTGTTCTAATAAAAAGGCAGGCGATGAGGCTGAAAACTACACGTGATGTTGTGACACACAAATGTTCAATTCAAAACCCTAAAGTTACAAGTGAAACAGCAAACAAAACAAATTTCTGAGCCAATCATCTGCTAGCTTCTAGATGTAAAATAAATGAATTTCTATCATGTTTTTGTTTTGACTGATAGATTTAGACTGTAATATGTTAGTGTTTGATTATGACCCCAAAATAATACAGTATGAAAGAGATCAGTTATTATCGTTCTGAAGTTTGTTTTTGAATATTTTACTTTGCTCACCAAACACATTCATGTGATTTAGAAAATCTGTACTTCAACGTCAAAAGGCTTTTTGGAAATGTGACATGTTTTAAAAGTAGCATGCCTTTATTTTTATATTGTAAATGCAATAAACATGCTGTGAGACAACAATTTAAGCACTGGACTGTGATAAATGGATGTATTTTGAATGTGATTCCTCTTCACAGGATGACAGCAAACAAGCCCAGTTCTTGGCTTTAGCTGTGGTGTATTTCATCTCTGTTCTCATGGTCTCAAAATACCGCGACATCCTTGAGCCTCAGTGTGAAACTGCCAAGATAAGCAGCCAATCAGGCCACAGCGTGTGTCAGGAGATCAACTCTCTCGCCATCAAAGGTGCTGTACCCTTACATTTGTTATATTCTTTTTTTTCTCTCCTAATTTCCATTTGATGTGACTGTGTCTGATAAACAGACATGTAAAATGTCCCTGCAAGTCTCCTCTGTTACTTTGCCCGCTTTTAGGAGCTGAGAGCTCATTCAGTAAAGCAACAGGGATATCCTGTGCTCCTTGGACTCATCTATGGTTTATTCATGAGCTCTGCTAATTGCACCACACAGAATTAAACGTGGAAGCAAATAGACTGGTGCTGGAGATGGCAGTTATGAACTTGAATAGGCATCAGCATTCACTCTGAAATAAAAGGTAGAAAGTGCCTCAAGTCATAATTCATACATTAAGGCACATGAAAGGAAATCATTGACTGCCTACAAAGGTTTAACACAATATCTGGTGCAGTGCCAATTGCTTTTGTGCAACGTACAAGTGAGTTTACTTTATCAACTTACGTTCAGATAAAAGCCGGAGTGAATAAAAGGAAATGGGGGGAAAAGGAGAGAGGCCAGAAGGAATATGTAAGTGTCATTTAAAGAGCTGGGCTCATGCAAAGAATAAAGAAAGAAGATGAGCAGCGAGAAGTTGAGAGTGAGAACGCTGTGGGTTTTTGGGGCAGTGGAGCCAAGCTTGCTATTTTCAGCCCTATCTGTCAGTGCCCATTAGGCAAGCAATCCACCAGAGGAGAATGGGATCATAGAGGTTGCTGGGAGGAGAGAGGCACACTGCCGCCTTCATAAATTTTACCAGAAAATAGGGGAATTTTCCAGACGGCATGTGGCAGACGATTGTCTGATGGACCAGGAAGCCAGACGACTTGCAGGCTAAATCAGGCCCTGCTGACCGCGTTCAGGGCCATGTGATGAATATTAATGCGGCTGCCCTTGCATCTTTGTAAGCATGGGTCAAGATGAACTAGTACCTCACTCCAAAGGCACTCCTGCAGCTCTCTGAAAAAATCTGCACTGAATAGGAGAGCAAGCCTCGTTTTCTTTATTTAAGAGCCAGTTTTAAACTTTTGTTTTTGGCAGTAAGAACATAAACGCTGCATACAAGTTTCCTACTTACATTATGTACACAGAAAATGGTATATACGAACACAAGAGCAGTATGCATCAAACTTATTTAACTGCTTCTCCGTCAAAACGGCTGAATAAATCAGACTGTAGGCTGAAAAAAGCTGAAGAAAAGGATTCATGTTTTATTAACACGAGGGGAAGAATAACAGAGTTAATCTCACTGGAGAATCAGAGCTTCTGGAGAGAGATCTGAAGAGATGCCTTGGCATGTGGCTTTCTCTACACATGCTATATTTACTCTTTGGCTTGGAATGTAAAGCTAGCTCACAGACATGTTTGTTTGATATTGCTTTAAAATGGTGCTTCTGAATTCATATTTCTCACATTTCCCAGAAAATACTGTTAAATTGTTTATATTTTTACAGTTGCATGGATGAGGTAACTGTACTAGTAAATAAACAGGATAAGTGTGTCTGCATATTTTGGCAGGTTGTTGATCTAAAAATATCTGTTTCTGCCTGACACTGCTTTTTTGTGTATCTTCTGCAGAAACACCACCAGCGTTTCCAAGCATGCCATCCGAAGGCTTTCATTTGGAAAGTTCTGTGACCCACACAGACTCAGGGATTGGAAATAAGCAAGTAGCCCGAATCCTTAATGGTTCTGACCTGCATCACAGAGCCGGAGGACCTGGCATCATGAGTGAGCTTATATCCACGCTGTCCTCAGAGGTAAAGAAGTCCCAGGAGAGCCTGTCTGAATGTCCTGATGTGGAGATGATCAAACCACCATCCTCCATGATCGGCATTAATCAGTCCAACAAAGGCATCAATGTCAAGGAGATTTTGAAAAGCCTGGTAGCAGCCCCATTGGAGGGAGTTGAGGCTGGACTGGAGCCTGTGTCCTTCTCCGACTCTGTAGTCAAGGCCCAGGCTGTGCTGCCGGTGCAGTTTCAGTCCTTTGACAGGTGAGGAGCACTCAGCGGTTATAATCTGCAACCCACAGATCTGTAATACAACTTTAGTTTATTATGTCAAAGTTTTCTTGTGCATTTTAGATGCATTGATTCTTCTTTATGACCCACAGCTGAAGGCATAGCTACAATAATGCTTTTGCCTGTGTGTGTGTGTGCTTACCGTTTGAATTCAACTTAATTCAAGATGGCTGCCACATCTAAGCAACCATAGCAGAGAAATAGTTATAACTTAATCAAAGTTACTGGCGCTGACCTAAAATTTTCAGTAATATTAGATGAGTCATTCCCAACACATTTTCAGGGTTTTATACTGTGCATCTTACAAAATCTGACAATATCACAGGAAATTGTGGGAAATATCATTTTCAAATGTTGATTGAAACTGTTCTAGCACATTTCCTCTCAACTAATTTAAAACTCTGACCTGAGAAAACAATAAGCATCCCTTCATGGACTGCTAGATCTTTAATTTCACCATTCTTTCAAGCATTGATTGTTTTAGCTAAACACTTGTACCTTTAAATCAGATATCATGATGCACGTTCCTCTGCTCTAAAATCAATCGTGTTAAACTTTTAGTTATTTGTTTTCTTTATAAATGTCACATTTTTTGTTTTATTTTCAAAATCGATAATAAAGCGAGTCTTTAAAATGTAAAACTGACTTTTGACAGATACCAAGAAAATCTAAAGTTATTTTCTAACACTTAAATTCATACATGCATTTTGTACGTTTCTGTTCATTGCTATCCAAGTTTGACATCTGTTTGGGGAAAGCATGCAAACATAAAAAAAAGAAGTAACCGTGCATGAGCTTTGGTGTGTGCAACATCTCAAGCGACCACAGAATGAAGATGTTAATCCTTTGTGTTTATCTCAGTCATGCAGTACACCAGCAATAGGTTTTAGGTAGACTGGAACTCATTATTTATACCAACCATGCCTGCATTGCACACGCTCCCTTCAGAGAGACATTTCTTTGTTTGAAAAGTCTCTGAAGTACTGTCGTGCTGCTGTAGTTTATTTACATTCCTGGATTAGTTGAAACCACACAGTAATCTGTCTGGATTTGCATGTTTACAAACCTGCTGCTGCAGGAATTTTCAGCTTCAGCTCCTTGTGATCCCCCAATTCAAATGGCTGAAATAGACGTTTCTTAGAAACTTTGGCACAAAAAACACCAAATCACTGATTATCGCCTACTGACAAATGTGAAAGAGCGATAATTTTTTTTGCTCATTTTTGTGTATGCATGTTTGTTTTGTTTCTGTCTCTCATAAACCACTGGATGGATTTTGGTGAAACTTTAAGAAAGTAATCAAGTAGTAATTAACTTTTAGAGTTAACTCAATTAAAGATGGCCGCCACAGTTAAGGAAGGGGGTATGCATTATCAGACACAGTTCAGTTCTGTACCACAGTCAAGTAACACCTTCAAATTGACCCCTGTCTCTTCAAGAACCCCCTACCATTTCTGACACTCCCACTCCAGCACATCTTCACAACAATACTTCGGGGAGGTGGGGCTCTGTGAGGTGGGAGGAGATTTGTGTAAATAGGTGGTGCTTTGTACCAGCAGGGGTTTTGGGCACCTCCACATGGCTACCACAGGAGTGTCAAGGATTTCTCAAACATGCATGAATGAGTCAAATCAACACTCTGGGTGTGTTTTTGATAAGAGGATGACATAATAACATGATATAAAGCTCAAAGAAGTACATTTTGTAAAATCAACCTCTCTAAGTCACTTGAAATTGCTGTAACTCATTTAATTTAAAAGATTGATGCCAAAAATTGCCAGAACAATATTTATGTTAATATTTATGTTTAAGAGAACGATAAAGGTCATCTTGTTAAAGAAATATGAAACAATATGCATTCATATGAAATGATATTTAATAAGGATTTGAGGTTGTTTTTTGTTTTGTTTTTGTTTGTAGATCATTATTGTTTAAATTTATATTTTGAGAAAAAAGGCGCCGATATTATACGATTTTTTTCTTCTTTCTGTCGCCTTTCATTTTATTTGTGATTTGTGTTTTTTATTTGAAACAATGTAACGTGTATTCATACGAAATGATATTTAATAAGTATTTGAGGTTGTTTTTTGTTTTTGTTAGATCATTGTTTAAATAATTTTTTTGAGAAAAAAGGCGCCGATAAAAGATTTTTTTCTTCTTTCTGTCGCCGTTCATTTTATTTGTGACTTGTGTTGTTTTTATTATAC